ACCTAGTAACATCATTTTACAAATACAGACCAACATATTTAAAGTCAAGGATTTTCAGTAAATACTCAGATGGATGGTAATACTACACTTTAATTCTATATAAAGCTTACAGGTGGGAGATTAGCCAGTAGAGCCAGCATGTCATTTCTTTAACAGACTTTTAAAAAGATATTGAAATCCACGGATTGTGGACAAATCCATCCTATTCCTTTAAACATGTTTCCTTGAGCTTTCTGTATGTTTTACTCATATAGTTCTTAGTCTGATGGTCCACTTACGTTCTTATTTTTTTTTAACAGTTATTTTGAAAATTTTCAGATTAAGTTTATTAACTCATTTTGCTAGCAAGCTTTCTTTGGTTATATATATTTATGGCATATAACCAAATATATCCCTCAGAAGTGGTCTATGTTATATAAATGATCATGATTTTCACACAGATGTTTTAGCTGTAGCTTCTATTTAAAAGGCAAACTCAGGTGCTTCGCCTCAGACCTGAGTAATACAATTTCTTCGACTCTTTTGTGTAAGTTTCTCTATATGTACCTGCCAAAATTCACTGCATATAACCTCTGGGATATGAAAACAAAGAACACAGAAATGGGGGGAAATGATCCTTTTTGTTTCCAAAGCTGTATTGTGCTTTTATTTAGTTGAGGCTTGAGACCTAAGTGACACTCCCCTGTCAGGTACATAAAAGTCATTTGAATGAGAACAAAGACAGGGTTGTCACAGGAGGGGCCTTGACACACAGCTCAGCCTTTCATATTTAAAACACTGTCTGAGCCAGCAAGAACAATACAGGACCTAATGTTGAATTATAGTGCTTTTTTATGTTGGTTACTTCCAACTCCAGTGGGAGAGGAGTTCATGTGTGAGCTAAGTAAAACAACTGCCTCTAAACCGAGGAAGTGCTCAATGGTTGTAATGAAGGACAATAGAAAAGTAAATAATAAAACAAGCCTATCAGGGGTTTGTTTAAAATCTGCAAGAGAAAGGGCAGTGAAACAGATGGGTCCTCCAGCTTAGAGTAGGTGACATTTGGAATTCATGGTTTTATTTGAAACTGTGAATAAACAGCTTGGGTATAGTCTGTGGTGTTCTTATCCAATGCTGATTTCACTGCATTTGTCTCAGGGCACTGAAAGACAGCATTGGTTAAATTGTCTTGCTATAATTATTTTGTGGCGATCTATTCTAAAACATTTTGACTTCTTATGTATTAGATTTCAACGAAACTAGAATTTAAGTTTAAAAGCAGGTTCATTTAAATGCTAAATTCTTTTTTGGGACTGTTATCACAGAATTATTCTCCTGATTGAAGTTCATCTCATAGAGTGTCATTCATGAAAGGTTTGTTTCCACTACTGCATAGCATCTTAGAGCTAGAAAAAAAGACCTGCAGTAGCATAAAAATAAATGAAGAGTAAACAAATCAAAATAGCAAAACTCTACTTATTCAGCCCTTGTGTTTGGCAGACTCATGGGAAAGCAGGAAAGTGGGAAAATTTTATAACAGGAAAAAGTCCAGCATTACATTTGGGCTAAAACTCTATGTGTATGTGATGAATGACAATCCAACTTAAGATTCCGTCACTCAGCCTAAAGGTACATTTTTCCGGAAAGTAGTTGAGTTTTGGCCAATCATTATTTCCAGGTTTTCAGCCAATCATGTCACAACCTCCAACTTCCGTCCAAATGAGCCAAACCCAGAACTATGATTCACCATGCTAATCTTTTTCCGTCTCTAAATATTGCCTGTGCTTGGACCTCTCTGAACCTTTCATGGTTCAGGGTGATGCCAAATTCACCGCTCAGATAAACTCGGCTGAATTTAGTGTTACCAAAATGATTTTCTTTTAACAAAGAGAAGACTTCAGGTGCGCTGATTGGAGGCAGCTGGCTTGGGTAGGTGTAAACCGGGCCTCTGAAAATGGTACATCCTGAATCATTGGTTAACCATGACTATTTTAAGTGAGCTTTTAAGTCATTACAAAGTTGGATACTGGGGCACAAATTGGAGGAAATTGCCGGTTATGAATCAAGTCTTTTCTGTTTAGGGTCAATTATTTTGCAGGCTACACTCCTGCTGTCTGTGTTATTTGTTAGAAGATAGTGCGTCTGACTTCCTGCAAGTATGACTTGAATTTAGAAGATTGGCTGTCTGGGCTTGTTACTGTAGATAATAGATTTGTAATTTCATATGTTGTTAGGAAAGAGGCTTGGAACAGAAGGGAGATGGTGTGGAAATTCACAGCCATTTCGAATTTATTGAAGATTAATAAATTTGACAGAGGTGCCTAACTGCAGATATATAAGATACAAGATAGACACAGCAAAAGACAACAGTCCAATCTTTCATCAGTCCAGGCCTCTAAAAGCTGAAGGGTCTTGGGGTGTTTATTAGGATGGGGAGCTCAGAGAGATGGGGAGTGGATGGAGCTGAAATAGCTTTACAAAGGCTTTTTAAATTCAGTAGGTTTCTCCTCCTCACGGTTAGGTAGTTGGAAAAGAGCGCAGAGGGCAGGGTGGGCAGCATGGCTGGTACGAGTTAAAGGTGTCTTTAGAAATGCAGGATAGGAGACCCTCCAGGGATGGGTTCTCTGTATAATCTGGGTACTATAATAGGCAAGCAACAAGAAGAGCTGGAGCTTGTGCCTTTCTCCACTCTGTGTCATCTGGCAATTTTTTCTTTTGCTGTGATTTCTATTGATACATAGTCCAAACATAGAAAGACTGACAAATTCATGTAGGTTAGGACTGAGACCAATGTTGTGGTGTTACCCTGTGAAACTGTTGTCTGACAGTATCCCACATAGGGACCACCCTTGTTCCTTGCTGCTCTACTTCCCATCCAACTAATGGTGTGAAAAGAGCAGTGGATGATGGTCCAAATATTCAGCCACCTTCTGTCCATGTTGATGACACGAGTCCATTGTCTTTGGCCTGGTCCTACCCTGAACAATGAGGCCATATGAGGAGTGAGTCAGCAGAATGTGGGATTTCTCCATATCTCTCTCTCTTAATTGAAAATAAGCAAATTGAAGAAAATTTATGAAGAACTAAAATTTATTTAAATGTGTATCTTTAAAAATTATTTTATGGCACTTTTTAGATCAAAATATCTTGAAGTATGGAATACTTTTATATTCTAAAGATGTAATGCAGAAAGTTAAGCAGGGCTGGTATTGTGTCTTTTTTGTAGTGAAGAAGAAACCAAATGCTGTGTCGCCTGGGTCACCAGCCAAGGCCGAGATGCCCAGGCCTTTCATATTTCTGACTCAGGCTGCTCAATATATTATAAGCTGTTGTATTTCTGTTCCTCAGATGTAGATAATAATGGGCCATCAAAGTGTGACATTTTTATTATCACTGCGTTAAAGGGAGATAATTTGATGAATACTTAAACCTAAATGTGAAGAAAACAACATACACATTCTTTGAATTACCTCTGTCCTATTTTCACTATGTCCTTTCTCTAAACTACCTTATTGACTTAAATTTTCAAATCTATTGCATTTTATAACTTGTGGTGATGGGATAGTAAGATTTTTGGAAATGCTGTTAGCTCCATGCCATTCCAACATAGGTATTATCACAGGATATTCTTTTCCAAGGAAGCATGCTGTGTTTCTATGTTTGTCCTTTATTACCTATATCAGAAAGATGCCAGGGAATCTGGAAGGTTTAGTTAATTCATTGGATACATCATATAGCAATTAAGTAGCATGTGGCGGGGGTGGGGGGTGGAGGGGGCAGCAACCCTCAAGTTGCAACCTGAAGAATTCTGAGGGAGAGCAGTTACTAAGAGAGAAAATACGAGGATGGTCAAGAGGATGGCTGTAACTGCACAGGGGTTGTGACATGGGTGGTTCAGGCTTGAGAAGATACTTACAGGACCCTGTAGAGTGAATTTGATACATACAAGATACAGGGACATTCAAAGCAGCAGTATAAGTAGCTTTAGGAAACACCGTTGTTTCTGGTGGGCTGGAATGGGAAAGGAGCCACAAAGCATGCAGTGCTGATTTTTTTGAATGGTACTCACCAGCGACTAAAAGGGAGCAAGGAGAGAGAAAGAGGTTGCAATTCATGAGGACCACATTAAAGAGATTAGGCATTGTTTTTTATGTAACAAGAGGCTTCTGAAAGGACTTTAGTCAGAGGTACATTATGATCAAATTTACATTTTAATAAGGTAATGTTGGCAGTATAAAGGGCATGTACCCTGGGGAATCCAGGGCAGAGCCAAGGAAATAAGTTGCAGCAATTCAAGGGAGGTGATTAGTACTTGAACCAGAGCACCCGAGCCAGATGTCACGCAGAACAGAAGATGAAAAAGTCTTCTGGAATAGATCTGCAGGGCCTTGTGGTTGGTACATTTGGAGGAAGGGTGGGTTAAAGAAAAGGATAGACAAACTTGACTTGGATAGTTGGCTGGACAGGAGAAGTCATAAATTCAGTGAAAAACATTATCTACTCAATATAAAAAAAAAAAAAAACAGCAAATTTATCTCATCTATGGGACATTCAGATGAGTTGTTCCAAGAGGCTGTTGGGTAGCCTCAAGTAAGTACATAATCAGAGTTGGCAAATGGCTGAGAAACGTCTACTACATTGCTAACGAACAGCCAGTAGAGGAATTTAGCTGAAGCTCTTTTGAGTAGAGTGGTCGTATTGAACGGCTGTCACAGTGAGTAGTGAAATGAGTACAAAATGAATAACTGGAGAGTACAATGCAGTGAGAGTCAAGATTCAATGACGCACTTTTTCCAGAGATTAAACATTCTTTCCTACAGAAACGAGCTCGCATACCTCAGGGCCAAAGGTCAGAAGATACGTGTGCTGCTGTTGTAGCTTAATATTGCAGTCCTCAACACAAGTCTATTCCTAACAATATATTGAAAGCATTTTAGAAAAATCAGTCTTTTTTTAATGGGACTGGGGAAGAATTTAACTTTTGTTTAATAAAACACTCTATTATTTTGGCTGTTACACAGAATCAACAGAGGAACTGAAAATCCGAAGCCACAGCACGGAGCCATTACCAAAGTTGGACAACAAAGAGAGAGGCCACCACGGGGCGTCTTCATCTAGAGAGCCTGTCAAAGCTCAGGAATGGGATGGAACGCCAGGTCCACCAGTCGTCACCAGCCGGCTGGGAAGGTGCTCTGTGAGCCCCACCTTGTTGGCTGGCAACCACAGTTCAGGTAAGGAAGGTGATGGTCATCTCAATGGCCATTCCACACGGCGCTAAACACCGCCTTCATGTAATTATCACTTAGAGAGCCATCACCACTCACAGCTCTGTCTTCATTCAAAAAGAGCATTCATCACCCTTCACCAAAAGAATACAACCAAACATTATAACACTCCAGGGCAGCAGTATGCATGCAAGTGAATGGTACTTCTTAGAGCCCTAAATTTTGCAGTCCTAATAACCTGAAGAAATTCTACTAAATTAAAAAAAGCAACATTTTAAGGGTTGGGTGACTTTTTTGACTTTTTTGTTTCCTTGTTTGAAAAATTTTAGGCGGTTGTGGAAGAGTGAAAGAAACACAAAACTGAGGGCAAGTCTGTGACAAAGATATTTCATAGGCATTCAGAGAGTGGATATTAGACACGTCTGGTGTGGTTAACTGAACTGATGGTGTCACAATAAGTAAGAATTATGTATGGCTCTGAGACTCCAAATCTGAATGCAAAGAGACATAAACAGTTATTCCAGTGGACCTTTCTATTTCACAAGTTCAAATCAAAATCTGTAATTGTGATTTCGCATGGGTACTTGGTAAATCTTATGAAACAATAACTTTTAACAAAAGCAGTGCATGTTTGCTTTCAACTGATTAGAGAGCTGTCACTTGAAATTTAAAAAAAAATATTTCAAATAAAATAAAGTTTCAAGTAAGAAACTTCCCTCAACTGTCACGTTTCTATTCCTTAAGCGTGTCAGACACTGAAGAAAAGACCGATTCTTTAACGTCCTTTTCAACTCTGATGTCTCTCTTAGGAAATAATTTGCATGAATTATACCTATGGTGTTTCTGACAGTCACGTACGTGTTAAAATCGGAACAGGATGACTGATGTCTGGAGTTGGTAAAGATTTTTTCTCAAATAGAATTCAGGTTGGGCAAAGCAATGTCTTCCACAGACACACTATGGAACTTAAAGCTTCGGTGGTGGAACGACAGCATGTATCTTACTTATCACTCTATAGTATGTATATAAATCAGGAGGAAGGAGTCTTATGCTAATGTAGCAGAAGCTCCCCAACATATTTATAGATTTTTATTTTTGATTGACACATGAAAATTATCTGAAAAATACTCAGTGTGCAATGCTCAAATCAGATTAAAGAAATCTGTTTCCTCAAATATTTACTATTTATTTATGGCAGAAATAGTGAAAATTCCTTTTTTCTATCTTGTTTAAAGGAAAATATACAATGTCTGATTGTTACGTGCAGGTGTCGTGCTGTGCATCAGGATTCTAGTAGATTGTTACCCCTGTCCTACTATAACTTAGTGCACATTAATCAACGTTGTTCCTTTTTCTACCTCCTTAATATCCCTGGCCTAAACACAATTGTGCACTCAACTTCCACAAAAAGAACTCTCTTGAATTATACATAAAAGAAATCATGCAATACTTAAGTTTACTTAATTTACCATAATTCCATACTGATAGGAAACTTTCAAGTTTTAGAGGTATATAAGAAGATACTAGGATATTTTTTCAAAAGTAGAAAGAATTCCAGAGAATATTTTTTATGAGAAAATTAAGTCGGTTCTTCCCCCAAAACAACAATACCTGTGTTCCACTGAGGCATGTGATTAGTTTAAAACTGATTAATGTTATTAAAGACTTATGTAAATGTATGCCAGTCCTATCCAACATATTTGGCTAATGTATGCTCCTCTTCTGTTGAAAGATACATTTTGTAAAACCTGAAGTATTACTTAAGTGTCTGTTACGTAACACTTGCTTTCATAGTCTCTGAGAGAACAATGTTGAAAATGATATCTTTGCATTTAGATGTTCAGGGTATGGAAGGGGAAAATAGAGAATTATATTATTGGGTATTTTAGGCAGGGAGATATGCAGATACACAGAAAGAGGGTATGGTCAGGATTGGCTCTGGAGTTTAAGGGGCATGGGAGGACGTAGGACACGGAGCACTGCTGTCCCGCCTACGAGGGAGTACACACCCTCTTCCCCTTCTGCTCATTCTGCTCAGACCCTGAGGGTCCTAGGTGATGCACGCAGGAATGAATTCTGTAAAGCCTGAGGATTCAAACACCGGTACTTTCACAATCCCACAGATGCCATCACAGACACTTCCAGAAATGAAGTTTCATCAACTCTCTGGGCATCCAGTAGCCCAATCAAGTTGAAATGCAAGATCAAATGTGTTATCAAAATGTAATCTGTGAATTAGAAATGAATTACTTCTTCCTGGGAAAATACAATTTTTACAGCAACAATCATTAATTTTTTTTTGTTGGATAAAATAATAGTAGAGGAAGTAATATTCAAATTAGCATTTGAAACAATGTCACTTGTCCGGAAGATGGAGAAGTATCCATCTTCCTTTGGAGTGAAAATAAAGTCTGCAGACTTAGCAAAGGAGTGTGTGTGTGTGTGTGTGTGTGTGTTTGAGAGAGAGAGAGAGAGAGAGAGAGAGAGAGAGTTTCAGTGGAGGAATGTGTCGTTGGTCCCATCACTGACTAAAGAAAGTAGGATTTTCTTGAGATCTTTTTGCATTAGGTTGAGTGAGTTTTGCCGTACCTGGGAACAAAAGTCTGTTATTAGAGGATAAGGGAGAGATGATTTTCCATAAACTACGAGCATTGTCAGCCACAACTGACCAATTTTTTTTTCAAAGATTCAGTTATTTTTATTGGAAAGACAGAGTTACAGAGAAGAGAGACAGAAATATCTTCCATTCTCTGGTTCACTTGCAAATGATCACAGCAGCTAGAGCTGAGCCAGGAGTCTCTTCTGGGTCTCCCATGTGAGTGCCAGGGCCCCAAGAGGTTTGAGCCATCCTATATTGCTTTCCAACACTATAAGCAGAGAGCTGGATGGGAAGTGAAGCAGCCAGTACAAGAACTGGTGCCCACAAGGAATAGCTGCCCTTACAGGTGGAGGATGAGCAAACGTAGCCATCACATGGCCCCAAGGTCAGGTTTTGAACATTATGTGGTGGATATTTTCTAGTCTTCCAAGGTTAGGGTTACCGCAATTCATTGCGGGTTACTCAGAGATTACCTGGTGATGACAGTAAGGTTTTAAATGTGGGTCACCTGAAGGACCTTCCTGATTTACAGATAATGCATGTAAGCTGTAGAGCAAGTTAGCAGTGGCAGCTAGAATGGTTCTGGCTATGTTGACCTGCTAGGGCCCCAAGATGGAATTCTGAGAAATGAAAACATTTCACTATGTGTAATGCAAAAATGGAAATAAGACAACTAAGTTTTACTGAATACTTCTTAAGTTATAATATATTTGAGTCTGAATGCAGGCAGAATTTCTACAACGCTTTCATTATCTGCTGTTTCAAACTCCTGGAGCATCTCTTTCCATTGATGGCTTCTTGAATGCATTCTCCTGAGGTTTTCAGCTCTGTTTGTAGAGCGGTAAATTGTCTACTGACCAGAAGAAATGGCATACGTATTTTTAGTCCCTCACACTCCATTTTAGATTTAAAGGAGATAGACAAAGATAGAAGAAGAAAATCTTTCTGTTCAGTTTTTGATCACAACTTTTGTACCCTTCTTTACAGAAATATCATACTTCAAGGCAAATGTAGAGTTACATTTTCATTGTGAAACAGCTCACGTCTTAGGAGAAAGTGAAACCCAAATGAACCTTACTGTGACTCAAGCATATAGCCTCTCCTTCTCACATGTCTAAGGAAAAAATGAAAATAAATATTTGTTGGGTTGTGTGCATTCATTCAGCTGAGGAGAAGGAAGCTATAGTGTGTCCATTTCTGTAAGTTCTACGCACAAAGTTCATTCATGTTTGGTGAGGTTGATCTGAAGAGCATTCACTGTGAGATCATCTGTGTCCAAGGAGGCAAAGGGCTCGCTGAAGAGACAGCTTTGTCCTTGTTGTTTGGGACAGGAAAGGGATGAATCAGGACTCAGTGCCTCTCCTTCGCTCTTTCCTCTTCCTCTGTGCTGTCATTGTGTCACTCACAATGAGAAGCACCGGGGCGATAATGGCAGCCCTCCTCCCTAAGCAACACGGCCATCCAACTCTTACACCCAATAAGAGAGGGAAGACCGTCCAGCCACTCTCGTGTTAACTTTTTGCCATTGGCATGAACCTTCCCTCTCTTCTGGAGTGTGTCCCTTTGGTTGTGTGTCTCAAGCTGTGTTTTTCTGCATGTGTCTTAGTCTCTTCTCTCTCCTCTCTCTCCCTCCCTCCCTCCTTCCCTCTTTCATGTGCATCCCAACTTCTAATAGTCACAGACTATTGCTTCACCACACGTAGTTCAGCCACTTGAAATGCTTGTTCCTAACAACTCTTTTGAGGAATGGAGGAGCCACTGAAGTATAGCAAACGTGTCAGGAGATCCCAATTCTCATTAACGTTGCCACTGGTTGCTGTGGTATTTTATTAAAGTTACTGTTGCTTAGTAAATCAGAGATACCCCAGAGAGAGATTCTTGAGGCCCATGGAGAACTGGGAGCCAAATGCTCTTGAAAATAATGGAAAACAGGGAGGTAAGTATTCACATAAATATGATACAAACGGAAGTTGAAATTTCAATCACTGAAGCAGTAAACAAATAGTTTCCAAATATCTTGCATCCAACTCTGTTATGGTTGCTGAGGGCACAAACATCGTGTGCCGTATAAAACGTGGTGGGAACCACTTAAAGATCTTGTTGTGCTTTTGTATGTCCCAGAACTATTGAATATAAATTAGATTATACTTTGTTACTTTCATTATTATCTCATATTTCCATTGATAATTATTTAGAAAAGGGAAAATTGGTGTGGCCTTGAAAAATAATAAAGGATTTAATAGCTGATATCAAATCCTAAGCCAGGATTAAATAAAATCTTCTTAAAATCAACATTATTATTGTATAAATAGTTTTCATTGTAGGATTTTAAAAGCAGAGATGAGATGACAAGCAGACTTCTTGCTTTGCCCTCTCAGGTTAGCCTGAATGGAGATGCATTCGAAAT